ACCAAAGCTCATATGAGGGAAAAAATTATAAAGAAATAGAGCAAACATTAATATAACAGAGACTAAGAAAACAATACAAAGAATTTATCAATTTAAGAGTTTACTCTTTGAAAGATTAAATAAAATTGAAAAACTCTTAGCCAACCTTATAAAAAAAAGACTCAAATCCATGCAATTAGGAAAGAAAAAGGTGAAATCACAATAGCTCTTGCATAAATCCAAACAATCATTACCTACTTTGAGAACCAGTATTCTAATAAAATGAAGAAGTGGACAGATTCCTAGATATGTGTGAATTACCAAAGCAAAATCAAGAAAATATAACAATTCTGAATAAGGGCCAGCAAGATAGCTCAGTGGACTAAACACCTGCTTAGGCAAGTGCAGGAATTGGGGTTTGATTCCCAGTACCCCATGCCATGCTGGCCCTGTCCCCAGGCATGCTAAACCAGCAACCAAGTCCAGGCATGGTAGTGCATGCACGCCTATAATCCCAGTGCTGAGGAGGCTGAAGACAGGAGGATCACCAACAGTTCAAACTGCATAGTGAGACCCTGTACCAAATACATAAAATTTAAAAACAAAAATCCAAATAAACCAATCTTAGTCCCAAAAAATGAAAATGCAATTAAAAACCTATGAACAAAGAAAAGGCCAGGCCCTGACTGATTCATTGCTGAATTCTACAAGAAATTTAGAGAAAAACCTAATGCTACTATTTCTCAAACTCTTTAATAAAACAAAGAGTAGCAATACTCCCAAATTGATTCCCAGAAGCATCACCCTGATACCAAAACCACAGAGACTAACCAAAAAATGGAATTGTAGGCCAGTCTCCAAAATGAACACATCTGCAAAATCTTCTCCATAAGATACTAGAAACAGAATGCAGCAAATGATCAAGAAGATTATATATCATGACCAAGTGGGATTCATCCCAGAGATGAGGGATGGTTCAACATATGCAAATCAAGTTAATACAACTTTTTTTATTCATTAAAATTTATTGCAGTGTTTTAGAATTCATGCAACCTAAATACTTTTTTTTTTTTTTTTTTTTTTTTTTTGGGACTGGGGATTGAACTCAGGCCCTTGTGCTTGCCAGGGAAGCACTTATTCCACTGAGCCATCTCCCTGGCCTGCAACCGAAGTACTTATAGCACTCATTATCTATACAGTTTTGTGTCTTTCACAATGCAAGGATCAGTGAGAAAGAATAACTGCATAAGTAATAATTGCTCATGAAAATTTTTTCACATATAAGGTACATTCAACAAGAGCAAAGACAAAATTTGAGTTCAGGAAAGATAATAACAATTTTAAGAGATTTGACATGTTTTCTTTAAAAATGTCAAAATTACTTTAAACAGTTTAATTTTTTTAGCATGCTCTACATAGGACTTCATGAATAGCATTTTAAAAAAATATATATACTGGGCATTGAAATCAGGACCTTGCACTTGCCAGGCAGACATGTATGGTGCTGAGCTATCTCCCCAGCATGAGTAGCATTTTTATGTAAGTATAGTTAACTGAATTGCTGCTTTCAGAACTCTGAACCACATAAAGTAAAAAGAAAAAGAATGATTATTTAATGTCAGGTTCAAATAACAAGCAACATATACTAAACTAAAATTTGTCAATTGTTTGAAGTGGTTAACTTTTTTGTAGTTTTCTTTTTTATTAGAAACAATAGACCAAATGCATTAGTAAATATTTTGAGTATTCTATATCTTTAATACTGAAGTCATATTGTAAAGCTCCAACTTCTTATAACCAAGGATACTCTTATCTGTTGACTCATTCTTGACAGATTTTGGTCTCAGCAATAAATTCATTGGGGAAGTGTCTAATCTTCCAGCACTTATCAATGGCATGCTCATTGAAACCTAGCAAGAGGTCTTTGTGACGAAGGCAGAAGGATTTTCTGTTCTTGTAAAGTTGATAAATAAAGGTGCCTAGATTACTAACATTATGGATTTCTTCAGCAGCAACCAGGTCTTCATGAACCACATAAGTGTGAAGCAAGTATTTGCCCCTTGCAAGATTGCCAAAGAGCTCCACCAGATTCTTTGGAGGCATAACAATGGAGGTGTTCAAGGCCATCAGATAGCAGGTCCCCAAGAGCATGTCTAGGTAAGCAGTCATTCCCTTTTCAAAGTCATGAATGATTGCTGCAGGATCACTATCAGAGAAAGTGAAAACAGGCACATCAATGATTGCAATGTTGTCATCCTCACGAATATCAGCCTCCTCTGTCACAGGTAGGAAGTAAGGCTCTCCATCATGAAAAGAATTTACAGGGTCCTCCGAATTCAGGAAATACATTTCTCCATGGTAAATAGTGCTCTTGGGCATGAAGTGTTTGAAAATGCAGGCTCCACCAACTATAAGTCCTGACAAGGTGAATGAATGCCTAAGAGAGTAAGCATACATCTCCCAGAGATGAGCTCATTTCCGTGAGCGGCAGCTTGCAGCTCCTCGCCAATCAAGATCTTTGTGTGCTCTGACTGTGCGACTCAGGAGGGCCTCCGCATCTCACTGCACTGCCTCCTTTTGCACCCCTGTGAGTGTCTGGAAAGTGACTTTCACGTGACATGGTGTATCTTCTGGCTGTGCAGTAAGGCGTGGGTGGATTCAGTGTTGCAGGCTGTAGGTTGTAGGAGATCACACTTGTCCAAACACTCCCTATATTCTCACCAGTCTACCTAATGCTAATACAACATATTAATAGAGCCAACACAAAACTTATGATCCTCTCAAAAGGTACAGAAAAAGTATTGACAAAGTCATATGTTTGATAAATTTTGACAAAGTCCAATACACATGATCAGAACCCCACAGAGAACTGGATTATAGTGTCTTTATCTCAATCTGATAAAAGCCATCTAAGAAAAACCAACAGTCTACATCATACTAAATAGACATAAACTGAAAGCTTTCACTCTAAAATCAGAAACAAGACAAGATTGTCCACTATCACCACTCTCATTCAATATTATTCAATATAGTTCTGGAAACATTAGCCAGAGCAATTAGACAAGAGAAACAAAAGGAATAAGGATTGGAAAGGAAAAAGGTAAGTGATCATTATTTTCAGATGACATGATTATATAGAAGAACCAAAAACTCCACCAAAAGAGTTTTAGATTTAATAACCAAATTTAGTAGCGTAGCTGGATACAAAATCAACACTCAAAAATCAATACCCTTCCAGCTCACTGAGAGAGAAATTAGGGAAACAACACCCTTTATAATAGTAACCAAAACAATACCAAAAACAAACAACCTCTCCCCCAAAAAACCAAAAAAACTTAGAAATCAATCTAATGAAGGAAGTAAAAGACCTCTATATTGAAAATGACGGTATTCTGAAAAAGAAAATTGAATAGGATATCAAAAATGGAAAGACAGACCCATGGATCAATGGAACAAATCAGAAGATGCAGAAACAACCCCAAATGTACATAGTCACCTTATCTTTGGGAAAGGTGTTAAACACATTCACTGGAAGAATGAAAGCCTCTTTAGTAAATGATGCTGGGAAAACTGGCTTTCCACATGCCAAAGATTAAAATTAGGCCCATGTCTTTCACCATGCGCTAAACTAAAATTGAAATGGATCAAAGATCTAAATATTAAGGCAGAGACATTAAATCTGCTGGAATATAGAACAGGTAGAATCCTTGAAGACACTGGTGTAGGCAAAGACTTGCTGAATAAAACCTCAGTATCAAAGAAACTATCATAAAGAATCAACAATTGGGATCTAATAAAAAGCTTTTGCACAGCAAGAGAAACCACCATCAGGGTAAACAGACAACTCACAGTGTGGGAAAAAACACTTGCCAGCTGTTCCTCAGACAAAGGATTACTATATTGAATATATAAAGAACTTAGAAAAAAATCAGCTTACCCCAAGTTAAAAGACCCAATCCAAAAATGGGCATCTGGGATAAATATACACTTCTCAGATAAAGAAGTACAAAGAGCAAATAAATATGAAAATATGTTCAACATCACTGGTCATTGGAGAGATACTAGTAACTAGTAACAACACTGAGATTCCATGTACCCCTCCAGAAAGAATGGCTATTATTATTTTTAGAAGGGTACTAGAAATCAATCTCAGGACCTCATGTTTGCCAGGCAGGTATACTGCACCACTGAACTAAATCCCCAACCCCTGAGAATGTGTATTATCAAGAAATCAACCAATAACAAATGCTGGAAAGACTGTGGGGAGAAAAGAACCCTTCTCTACTGTTGGGAGTGTAGACTGGTGCAACCACTGTGGAGATCAGTGTAGAGATCCCTCAAAAATTAAAACTAGAGATTCCATTTGACCCAACTATTCTTCTTGCTATCTTCCCAAAAGAATTAAAAACATACCATGATGGTATATTTACACCAATGTTTATAGCGCCACAGTTTGTAATAGCTAACTCTTGGAAACAGCCCAAATGTCCATCAACTGATGAATGGATAAGGGTGGATATATATATTATGGAATATTGCTGTTCCACAAAGAAGGATAAACGTGAGAGATTTCTGGGTAAATGGATGCACCTTGACACCATACCTTTAAGTGAAATTAATCAAACACACATATTTAAATATCACATTGTTTCTCTGGTAGGAGAAACCGAAAGTGTAAATAAGGATCAAAATATAAAACAGATATTGGGAAATGGGAAGAAAATGTTGAAATAAGAAGAGGAAGGGGCGGAAGGGAGAAAGGACAAGAAAAAAGAACAGAAGGAAAAAAATGGGAATACAGTTTTTGTAAACAAGGAGGGGAAGAGGGGTTGAAGGGAGCAGAGGGGAATGGGGAAAGCAAGCAGGTTGTATCATGTACAGGTAGGTGCAAATTCCCTACCACAAATTTGATCATTATGTGTATTTACAATGTGCCAATCAATACAGAAGTGACTGCTTCCCCTGTGCTTGGAGCGGGAGGTGGACCCTGCTGCGGAGGGTGGGGCGCGCTTGGGGTGTACCTGGTGCAGCTCTCTTGCCAGCCTCCTCCGCTGCAGCTGGCCCTGCTTCGAGGCCCTCTCGGCCTCTTCAGCCCGGAGCTGCAGTTGCTGTTCTTTTCGCTGTGCATCTTCTAGGAGCTTCTGCATGCTGGACACTTTTATGCTGTCCAGCTGCTGCCGGGTGAGGGCCTCCTGGGTCGCCCTGTGCTCTGACTCCTGCAGCAGCCGAGCCTGTGCAGGAAAGAGCCAGAGGGAAGCAGAAGGGAAGGCTTCCTGGCCAGCAGCAGTGGTCTCTGCAGAGGTGACAGCCAGCAGTGGGGACACAGGACTGCGCCTAACCTGCCCATTACACACTGTGAGCCCCGCGCCTCGGAGATAAATGGAACAAACAAGTAAATGAGCAACAACTAAAACCAGGAAAGTAAAAAATAAAAATAAAAATAAAAAATAAAATGAATAAATAAAAATAAAATAAAACCAGGCAAGTGGTGATGCTGCTGTACACCAATATGAGGCCAACTACTTTGGACTCTTATTTTATTTATTCACTTATTATTTTTAAGACAGCATCTTGCTATGTAGTGCAGGCTGGCCTTCAACACACAGTGATCCTCCAGCCTCAACCTCCTCTGTGCTGAGATTACAGACTTGTACTCCCACGCTGGGCTAATTTGAACTTTTAATACCAACGTTTGATGAAAACGTATAAGAAGGGGCTGGGGAGATAGCTCAGTGGAATAAGCACTTGCCTGGCAAGCTCAAGGACCTGAGTTCAATCCCCAGTTCCGAAAAAAAAAAAGAAAAGAAAAGAAAAGAAAAGAAAAGGTGTATGATAATTATTAACCAATTAATCATGTTTATCATAAAGTTTGTATCATGATAGGCTGACAGCAGCTGGAGAATTTATCTAACTATGGGGAGGAAAGGCAGGCTATAAAGCAATGAATTAGGAGAGAAATTCTGATTTTAGCTGTTTTTACTTTAAAAATAGCTTCAGTAGGGGGCTGGGGAGATGGCTCAGTAGAATAAGT